TGTCAATGATCAGACAATGGAGGAGCAGGTAGAGGGCCCCGGCCAGTGCATGGAAATGCAGGGCATATCGGTGTGGCTGTGCTGCGTGGACACAGTTGTGCCCGCCTGTTCAGTGAGACAGGGAACTGGAAGGGAAAAATAAAACCTAGCAAATAATAAGTAAAGGAAAAAAGTAAGCAGGAGAATAAAGAATTCAATAACTAAACACACGGAAAGCAAAATAAAGACAAGAAGAGTGAGAGAAAAGAGAAAGGAGCTAGAATAAGCAAAACCAGGGAAAGGGGAAAAAAAAAGACAGTCATCACAGAGGAAAACTAGAAGGACAAAGAAAGAAGGGAATTGGGGGTGGGGAAGGGAGAGAAGCGGAAAGCAAAAAAGAAATGTTGTTTTTTTTTAAGGAAAGGAAAGAAAAGGAAACAAAAGCAGGAGAGGATTACGGAGGCGGGGCCGTGGCGGAGGTGGGCACTCTCTGGCAGCCAAGAGCTCACTGGAGTAGGGGGCCCGGGGGGAGGGAGAAACGCGGGTCCTAGGTGGGGTTCCTTCTTGTCTAGGCACAGTCTGGGGTCAGGGCACCTAATCAGGAAGTCATTTGTGCCTCCGCAGATGGCGGCTGAGGACAGGATCCTGTTCCCAGAAGGAATTGGCTCAGTCCCAGAGGGCAGCTAGGGGGAAGACAGGCTGGTTGTGGAAGGAGCTCCTGCCTGTTCAGGGGCGGCCAGGGACCCAGTACTTCATGTTCTGCTGGTCTGCTAAGGGGGAGTCCATGCACTTCTAGACATGGACGTGATACCCAGTGCCCAGTTCCTGAGGGTCTGGCTCCAACTCAGAGCTGTCTGCAGGTGCAGGGTGGGTGAGGCTGGACACTGGTCACACTTCTAGTCAGCAGGATGGTGTGGAGAATGAGGGGGGAATCCTACCTTTCTGATCCCTGGTCACCAGAATGGGTTTGTGACAATCAGGCCACTGTCTTGAATGCCTCTTGCAGGAGTTCGAGCTGGCAGCGCCACACCAAGCCAGCTGCCATTCCACCATCTGTCTCCTCTCTGGCCACGTCTGTTCACTTTTTTCTCCTAATCAGCATTCAGTCTGCTTCTAATCAATATTCACTCCACTTCTTTATTTCCTGTGAAGCTCAACGTCCCAGAATTAGCCTCTCTAGCTACCACATTTGGTGTCTTGTGCATTGTCACAGAACAGCGGTTTTCCACCTGTGGCTCGTTCGACCCCCAAAGGGGTTACTAGATTCATCACAGCAGCAAAATGACAGTGATGAAGTAGCAACGAAAATAATTTTATGGTTGGGGGGGGGGGGGTCACCACCACATGAGGAACTGTATGAAAGGGTCGCAGCCTTAGGAAGGTTGAGAAGCACCGTTACAGAGGGTCTGTGTAGCATGTCAGCCTAGATCAAGACCTTGCCTGAAGTCAGCCCTTTGCTGACTAACTAGAATGTCCTTCTCTAGGGACTGGTCTGTCCGGGGATGCGTGCAAAGTCCGTGAGCTGAAGTCTCTTAGTTCTCTCGTGTCCATCCTAAGGAATATTCTGGTTGTATTTCCTTTAAGACTAATTTGTCCATTCTTGTGACAATCTATGTTCTTCACCAACACAGCGACGTGAGTGCGCCAGTGCTTGTCTTCCTTTTTCACGGGTCAGCTTTGACATGCACAGACTGCCCCAAGCACACCACCTCCACTGCCATCGAGTCTGCTCCGGCTCGGTGACCCTGCAGGACAGAGTAGACCTGCCCATTTGGGTTTCTGAGGTGATAACTCTTTACAGGATCAGAGAATCTCAGCTTTCCCCCCAGGTGGTGGGTTTGAAGATTAGAGAGTTAAGCTGTGTCTATGTGAATTTCCTTGTCCTGGCGGCCATAGCCAGAAGCGTGCTTTAAATCTAGTTGTGAGATCTGATTTAGGCGCCTTTAATCTGGAACATTCCTTTGGTCGTTCACATTTGTCTGCTACCCCCTTATGATGGAGTTCAGAGTTAATTGCAGGAGGACCTCTCCCTCATGTCCACGAAGACCCAGAAGTGTTGCTGTATCCAGCTCGCGCATTCCATCGGGCAGGGCATAATCTCAGTCTATCCTGTTGCTGACTGCTGGTCAGTCACACCTGATAAGGAGTGTCTGTCACGTTCCTCCTCCTTCCGTGATTAGCAAGAATGCAGGGGGAAGATGCTTTGAGATTAGGTAGCTACCAGCTACTCCTCAGGCTTTCGATTTATCCATTGAGTGTTTATAACACGAGAGCCTCCTGGTTTCCGAGTTTGTTCCCTGGACTATTACTAGAATTATTTTGATGCCCGAAGTGTCCCAGTGTGGCCGGTGATAGCCTCTCTAAGCCATCACCCGTGTCTCTGTTACATTCCCCATCATTCTTTAAGCACAGCCCTACTTTCTAGAATAAAAACATGTCTGAGATGTGTGTCCATTTTCTGATGGTCCCTAGAACCATCTATTTCTCACCACGGGTCTGGTGTGTAGAGAATGGTGTTTGGAAGCCCAGATATGAGTATAAGGTATGCTCACTGCTATTGGGATGTTACCCTGCCCAGGCCCTCTCAGTGGACAGAGCTAGGGTATGCAAGTCTACAAACGCATACATGTACGCTCAGACATGCACATACTTATAGTAACACCTTTTCTGCATGTATTCCATGAATCCTCGCTGATGTTACCTATTCTAATCTCACAGTGCTGTTTTCTCCCTTTCCTTGCTTATAACTTCCTCCTCCCCCCCACCCCGCCCTTCTCCAACAGTGAGAAGCCTGCCCCCCCCATCCCCACCCCCATCCTATTGTCCTTAGTATATTTACTTATTTGATCAACTCACTTGCATGTAGACCAAGCCCTGGGCCTACCACTGCCCTCCCCCGCCCCCGCACAGAGCACCTCCTCACTCTGCTTGAGCTCTGTCATGTCATAGCAGACCCCCCCTCGCCCTGGGATAGACCCCCTCGGGTGCTCAGAGCTCCTCCTGACCCTTTGCCTGAGTCCCCACTGCTGCATCCTCACCCTGGCAGGGCTGTGCCCCCATGTGGGTGCCTCCCCACCCTGCTCCATCATCTCCCACAAGCCACCGAAAGAAAGACTGAGTGGAACCCACCAACCACTGCCCTCCAACAAAAGTGGCAAAGAGGACGGGCAGGTGGACCTGTGAAGGCGAAAGAGATGTTTCTGAAAAGGGCTTGGCATGGGTCACCTGCCAGCTCTGTCCATCCCTGATGAGTTCACCTCCGACCTCCAGGTTCACTCCAACCGGGCCCCCAAAAGCCAGCCTCAAAGCACAGCGGCTGGGCCCTCTGAACCTCCCTCCTCCATACAATCGGCCTCTCGTGTGTTTTAGGAAGGCCAGGCATCCGACTGAAAAGCCTCGGCCAGTGGGAGCCTGCAGGCAAGGCCACACTGGGCTCATGAGGCGACAGCAGGGGGGGAGGGTGGCCATGATTGTTGCCACCGATGTGGAAGGACGTGCCAGGAAGGAGTGCCTTCCCCTCTCAATGGAAGTACAAGGACAGATGGGCAGCCAGGCTGACGGGAGAATCGAGAAGAGCCCAGCCGGAGGGGGCTGAGAGCTTGAAATGCTCCCCTCCGGTGCTTCCCCAAGGCTTCCCAGCGCCTCCACCTGGCACCCCTCCACCTGCCCACCAATGGACCACCTCCCCCTGGGCGCTACAGGAATCAGGGAGGGGGGGAGGGAAGGAGTGGGGAGGGGATGGCGGGGAGAAGGGGAGGGGTTGGAGGAGGAGGAAAGTTGGGAGAAGAAGGAAGGGGGAGGAGAAAAGAAGACATGGGGGAGGAAGGGAAAGGCAAGATGAAGGAAGTGAGGTTAAAAGGAAGAGAGAAAGGCGAAGGAGAACAGGGTTGGAGGGCAGCCCACTTAACGTCTCTTTCGTTCCTAGGCAACCGCAAAGAGCAGCCTGGCCAAGCTGGACCTGTGTCCCCCCACCACCCCCAGCCCTGGAAAGAAAGGTGTGTGGGGACCTGGGTAAACAGAAGCCCCTGTGAGAAGGAATTTCCATGGCAGGGAAGGGACTGGGACCAGTGGGGACACACAGGGCAGTGCACCTGACCGGTGGCACTCACCCGGCCCCATCTTCCTCATGCCTGGGCCACCTGCATGAGGAAGCCAGGAGCCCAGCTCCCCTATCCAGGGGGCAGCTTCATGCACCCCAGCACCGAACTCCCCAGGAGGGGGCATTTGGCAATGCCTGCAGGGAGACAGTGCTATCTGAATCTGGTGAGTGGAAGTCAGGGGAGCCGCTATCCACCCCCAGCCTCAAACGCCCCCAGCCTTCCACCAAGAATGCCCCTGTCTCAGGGGCAGCAGTGCCCACACACCTTCTTACTGCTGCACCCACCTCAGTGAAGTCGCACCCTGGTGGCCCAGTCACCCCCACCCACCTGCCTGGGACAATAGCTGGGACTTCGCACCAAGACCCCCCTGAGCAGGACCCCCTTCTCACAGAGGCTGTGCAAGCAACCGGACTGACCCTCAGGCGGTCTCCCCCAGAAAGGGCACCAGAAAAGTGCTCCCGCTCCCCTCGGGCCACACACAGCACTTCCCCCTGAGGAATCCAAGCTGGACCAGCCCACCCTCCTTTCAAAGCCCCGCTGCAGCCAGGAGCCTCTCCCCCCACCCGTCCCCCCACCCCAGAGCCCACCAGCCTGCCCCATGCACCTCCTCCCCAAGCCAGCACCAGGCTGAGGACCCCCAAGTTTCCACGAAAGTTAACAGCTGTGTCCGGGAAGAGTGCGCACCGCCCAGGCAAGGAGCATTTTCCACCAGGAAGCCGAAGACGGGCCCTTGCCATCGCACGCCCACATGCGGGGACACACACACACACACACACACACACACACACACACACAGGATGTCGAACCTGCTGGACAAACAGTGCACCAAAAGAGTTGCCCAGGCGATAGCTTTCCAAGGACGGAGATTCTTACTCCGGTTGGCGAGAACAGCCGAGCAGGGAACACAGGGTGCAGACTCACTCGTGTCATTCCCCGAGGGGCCAGCCAGGGCCAGCGGCGAGGACCCTGCCCCTCAGCAGCCTGCCGTGTCGCCCTGGGTGCCATACCCCGCCAGCCTGCTGGGTCCGGTCCCCAAGTCACCACCACGGACGGCTCAGCCTCCCTCCTCCTCTGGGAAGCAAAGCGGCTCACCCACTGCTGACAGCGTTTTCGATGTGCCAAGCAGATGGTCCACGCTCATCAGCAGTGCTGTGCTTCAAATGGCAGCACTCGGTGACACATTCAAGGAAAGATCTCGTCGTTGATCCAGCTTGGGGACGGGCTGGTGGCCCCAGGAGGTGGCTGACAGCCTTGGGGTCCCGCTCAGGCCAGCCAGTGTTCAGAAAGGGGGACCCAGGGAAAGGTTGTAGGGTCAGACATGCCAGGGAAACACAGGATGATCAGCTCAAATCCTCGGCTCAGCCTATAACTAGCCATTTGCCTCTGGCCAAGCTTAGCTAACCTTGTCAAGACTAGAACCAGGAATACCCACTTAAAGGCCCCCACCTTAGTCAGTGCCACCCAGAGAGCGCCTGTCTGTGGAGGGTTCCGAGGTGTACCTCTTTACAGGGGCACACAGTCTCGCTGCTCTCCCTCAGAGCACCTGGTGGATTTGAACCTCTGACCTTGCTCAGTACTAATCCCACAGTCAATAACATTACCTTAAAAAGGTATAATAATTTCACAGGGCGTCTGAACACATCTATGGGGTGGAGAGGTCCCTTCCCACCACCATCCTCAGACAGTGCATGAGCCCCCACCCCAGTACGAGGGAACTGAGTCGCCGCCCCCGGGGTGGACGTGGAGGGCTAGCACTGACCTTCCACAGCACTACAAACACTTGCAGGGCAGCTGCTTCCGTCAGAACCTAATCTCACCCACGCAGCAGCCAGAGACACAAGATCCAGTTAATTCCCCTTGTTCCCCGGCTGGGGGCCCCCTAGTTACAGGGTTTTTCGCTTGGTGGGGAGGGGTGTATTTTTGCTTTTTAAGGTCCGTTAAGATAAAACCACTTGTTGGTGTTGTCTTCTGATGTTTTATTTTGGTAAATAGATCTATAGCAAGACATGTCACCTCAGCCAATCTCACAGGTGCCTCTGAGCGACCATCTCCACCCTCGCTTCACAAACCATTCTTACCCCCACCCCAGAAGTCCAGGACCCCCTAAACTAAGATTGCCCCCCCCCACCTGTTGTGCTGTTTCTGGTGGATTGTTTTTGTTGTGTTTTGTTTTGTTTTCAACAGACCCAGTGTAAAGACCCCGAAGGCAATACAGGATGTGGAGTTATGTGACCCCAAACCCAGCTGAGACCCACACACCACCCAGCAGTGCCCCCTCATTCACAAGTCCTTTGTAGCTGTCCTGGCAAGCCTCCGTGGAGGAGAAGCCGGTTTCTGATGGGGAAAGCGTATTCAGAGAGGCTGGACTTCCGTCAGGCTATTCCCATAAGCACCAAGCAAGCATTGGAGCCAGCGTCTCTGCTGCAGGAAGCCCACCCAGTGACTGTCCTCCCCAGGGAGACCAAAGGGAATGCTTCTCCAAGCCCCACAATCCCAACACAGCATATGAGCCTCACGGGGCCAGCAAGCATCCCTGGTGAGCAAAGCAGCCAGCAGCCCCGCCACCTCCACAAGGTGTTTCATTACCTGGCTTGGTTTCCCAAGGGATGAGGTGGTTGGCTGCCCGGAGAAGTTGGTGCTTCCGGAGGAGAGTCAAAACTGCAACGAGAACAGGACGGAGTGGACCCAACAGCAAGGCAGAAAAGAACAGGGAGGAAGGGGTCAGATACCCCCCAGCAAAGAGGATGAGGTGGGGACTAACAGGCTGGAGGAGAAGGACCCCTCATCACAGCGGGGAAAGGAAGGACCCCCAGGGAAATAAGGAGTGAGGGAGACTGAGAGGGGCCAGGAGACCTGCCCTGCTCGCTGGCTGCTTCCAAGAGATCAGGGACCGTCCTGATGTTGTGACGTTTGACTCTGTCCCTTGGGTGCTGTGCAGCCCTCAGCTGAGTGACCAACTAGAGGAGGACCTTGACGTCATGCTTTAAGTCAATAGAAGGGAGGCCTGGCCAATGGCTGCTCCCCCGCCCGCTCCAGTGCAGGAGACAGCAAATGGACCCACAGAGCTGTACTGTCACCAGGTGTCCGGGAGCTGTGGAGTTGGGGGGCATGGAGCCCCCCAGAGGCTGGCTTGGGGCCCCTGGAAGCCATGGGGTCCCTCTTCCCCCAGACGGAGTAGGCGCTGAGAGGTGCCACTTGTTTTGTGACTAATGAGCACCCCCAGCAAAGCAGGAACTCTCGCAGATGGGACCGGAGTCTCGTTTGGGGTGGATAATGATTTATACTTAGAAAAAAAGAAATACAGCAACTTGCTGTAAAAATAAAACTGCTTGCATTGAAACCACAAATAGGTTGGCTATTTCTGTGCCTGCCTTGTCTTTGTGAGTAATTGTCCTTCTCTTGAGAGGTGGGAGAGTTTCAGGGGAGGGAGGTGAGAGGAGAGGGGAACAGAACACTGGGCAGTCTAGGGGCCCCGGCTCCAGGGAGAAGTTCAAACTTTCACTTGGGGGAGGGAGGTTCATTCTCCAAGGTCCCCTGGAGAAACAGTGCCCCAACTCTCCAGTGAGACAAAGAAATGTAGTGGAGGGGCCCGGTAGGAGCCGGAAAGGAAGACGTTTCGATCCCCTGTGAGTCTGTTCCAACTCACAGGGCCCTACAGGCCGGAAGAGAACTGCCTGTGGTTTCTGAGGCTGTAACTTTACTGGAGCAGAAAGCCTCGTCTTTCTCCCTGAGCGAGGCTAATGGTTTTGAACTGCTCACTGTGGGTTAGCAGCCCAACACTGAACCCACTGTGCCAGCACAGCGCCTTCAATAGGATTGCTTAAAAAAAAAAAAACCAGTGTCACCAAGTCAAAACAATAGGTCTCTTCTTTCTCGGTCCCTCTCTCGCTCTGTCTCTCAACTCTCACTGTCATGGAGTTGATTTTGACTCACAGCCACCCTGTAGGACAGAACAGAACTGCCCCTGCCGGTTCCCCACATTGAAACTTTTTATGGGAGTGGAAAGCCTCATCTTTCGCATATGGGACTGCTGGTGGTTTTGAACTGCTGGCCTTGCAGTGTAACCAGGTGTAACCAGGCACCACCTGAAGTGCTTCAGATCAACGTGGGTCACAAGTAAGCAGAACACCTGGAGATGTACTCAGTGTCCAAGGGCCTGATGAGCAAGGTAAGCGCAGGCTCATTTGTGCTTCCTTGCTTGCTTACTGGTCTGTGGTGAACCGTTTGGCCTGCTTGGGTTTTTCACCACATCAAAGATGTGCACCCCTGGGAAGCTGGCCTTGGGGCTCCTTGAGGGAAGGGGGTGGTGAGTGACTCTTGACCTGAGACTTGGATTGATGGCTTTGGAGGGGGGCAGCCCACCCCCACCCTCTGGGGCTGCACGTAGAAGGGCTCCATGGCAGATAAAAGGCCGAGATAAAACCCTGAGAACCGAGCTCTCTCGGCAGACTGGAGGCCCCAGAGCTCCGGGGCGTGCCTCTGGGATCCGGCCTCTGGACTGCTGGCTTGCTCCCAAAGGGTGGAGGGCGAGGGTCCCAGGCAGCCCACCCAGCGCAGAGCTCTTTGATGAAGGCAACGGCCTCCTTGGGACCACACTGCAATCAGCCTCACTTCCAACGATTCCAAATGTGGGTGGGGGCCCTTCCCCAGGGTCTGTCTCAGAGGGCCACTTTCCTGCACCGCCCCCGCCCCCCCAATCGAGTCTCTGCCCTTTGTAATGGACTCACTGTGCGGGGCCCATGAGCCTGTCCCGGAACACAGGGGCGGTGGGCGGCGGGGGCCTGGGGGTGGGGGCCGGCTCTGCCCTTATCACTCGATCTTGGAGCAATGTGCGCGCGGAAATGTGCTTATCAAGCAGACGCAGACAAATGATTGCCCCCTCGTTGGCTCCAAAGACTTCCAGAGCAAACAAATCACTGGCCGCGCGCTTCCCGCGACTCTGAACGGCCAGGTGCTGGTTAACGTTTACAGCGGGAGAAAGAACCAGAAACTAATTAATCAGGGCGCAGAGCAGCCGGGCGGGGGCCGGGCCGGGGCCGGGGGCTCGGGGCCTCCCGCTCGCTCCCTCGCTCGCTCGCTGGGCCCGGCTCCGAGCCGGCACCGCAGCTGCGCTCCGTGTATACGTGTGTGTCTGCTTTCCGCCAGGGCAACGCGGTCGCGAGGGCTCCAGCTCCCGCTGAAGTCCAAGATAAATTCCAGTTTCTTGCTCCTGGGAGTCACAGGCGCATTTATTACGTGTCTAATCTTTTATCCACATTTTGTTGTTGTTAGTTACCGTCAAGACAATCCCGACTCCTGGGACCCCGGGTGTGCAGAGGAGAACTTCTCCAGGAGGTTCAGAAGCACATCACCGGCCTGCCTTCTGAAACGTCCCCGGGGGGCTTAGAACCACCAACCATTTGGCTAGGAGTCAAGTGTTTAACCGTTTGTAACACTCAGGGATTCCTATCCCCGCTTTACAGACAAGAAAACCGACACACACAGGGTTTAAGTAACTTGCTCTAGCGACCCTGACCAGTGCTGGATCATTTACCCAATAAGCAAGGCAAGCTAATCTATAGTGAACAATTTCACATTGTTCAACCACATCAAAGATTGTGTTTCCAGGTCTGCCTGGCATGCGTCTCCCTCTCAGGCCCACAGCACGTTCCTTCTGAATCACAGCCTCTTTTCACACTTAGCATGTGAAGTTTACAATCCCTGACAGGGAAGGAGTGCCCAGGAAGTAAGGTGAGCATGGGGTTTCGACGAATCTGTATTGAATACTTTCACATGAGATATGCTGACACACATGTGAAACTGTTCGCCGTAGATTCAGAAACAAGCACAAGCCCGCGCTTGCCTTGCGGATTGGGTCATCTGACCTGCCCTCGATAGAAAAAGAATGATTCTAGAGTTTATATGTATATTATTGTTAGGTGCCTTCAAATCCGTTCTGTTTACAGCAACCCAATGTCC